TGCGAAATAGAACATGATCCCTTTGTTTGCATCATCAGCTTGAAGGTTTACGTGTGTGTAGATAACAGTGTCAGAAAACTTGTGTATTCTTCATTGACTTTGATTGACGAGAACCGCCACATCTTAACTCATGATATATGTATGAGGTGAGGTGAAATGGGGTTTAACGCCGCGTCCAAGATTATTGCACTTATATAGGGACATGCATGCACGGGTGTGTGTGTCTGCTTGTACTAGTCCGGACTGATGCCGATTTATAGTGCCTGCTCACTGAGATACCATGCCGCACTTTAACATGAATACCCCGCTCAGACACATTTTACTGACTCCGAGCCGACCAGTCCTTGTTTTACCCCCTTAATGCCGAGCGCCAGACAGGGTAACAATAAGTACCATCTTTTAACGTCTTTTGGTATGACGCGGCCGGGGATCGAACCCCGACCTTGCGCTCTCCGGGCGGAGGCTGTACCACTAGACCACGGAAGCGGTCGATATATGTATGAATCGATTAAGACAATCTGTTTCCTAACTTGTTATATACATAACATAAGTTATATGTTTGGCGGCTGTTCTAGTTCAGAAAAAAATGTCAGAAACGTTCTTTGTGTTTGTTGTTTAACGCCGCAATGTTTCAGCTATATGACGGCGGTTTGTATACAATCGGATCTGGACCAGACAATCATTAGATTGACATTATGAGCATCCATCTACGCAATTGGGATACCATGACGTGCATCAACCAAGTCAGCGAACCTGACCACCCGATCCCGTTAGTTGCCTCTTACGACAAGCATAGTCGCCTTGGTTGCTGAAGACCAATTCCATCCCGGATCTTCACAGAGCTCAAGAATAACAAGTCATAATCATCTCATAACGTTAATATATGCTAGTTAGGTACATTTCTGTATCATGAAACTACATTATACATAAACGTCCTTAATGTATTAAATATTCCCAAAAGGTACAAATACCTTAAAGTTTGAATGAGTTAATGGAAGATAATATCCAAGCAATATCGCAGCAGTTTGTATCTCCATCAAATGGAATCTGTGCAACACAAATCAGCTGATGACCGAACGGACAACGAATCACACCGTACGATGACAAACAAGTAATTTTGATTTATGGAGCAGATGATTGATGTTATGGAAAAGGTAAATTTATATGCATCCACCAGATTCCTTGGTGTGAAACCTAGTACGCCTAATTAATTTAATGATCTTCGGGGAATGTGGACTATTCCCATTATTTAGGTTTGCAAAGGTACAGACAAAATATCAGATCAAATTAGTTAAAATGCCTGTAACAAGATATCCAAAGAAATCTTATAAAATGCTATTTCTCTATGACCAACAAGGACAGACTAACTGGGTATCTTCTGTTAAGCCTCAGCTTTATTCGAGTGAGTGAGTATGTTTTTACGCCTCTTTTAGTAATATTCCAGCAATATCACGGCGGGGGACACCAGGAATTGGCTTCACAAATTGTTCATGTCGGGAATCGAACACGGGTTTTCGGCGTTACGAGCGAACGCTTTAACCACTAGGCTACCAGACCGCCCCTTTTATTCAAGTGGTTATGGACCATATATGGACAGATCATTTCATAGATGCTTTTACTAAGACATTGAAAACAGTTTCTGTAGAGAGCAATCTCTTTTTAATGTAGCACTAAAGACATTTCGAAATGCACTTACAAGATTGAGATGTAGTTCACAAGAACTCTTTATCGAGACGGAAAGAGATATTGGGATCTTAAGAGAACCCAGAATTTGTCAGTTTTGTGATTTAAACACTTTAGAAAGTGACTGCCATCTCTTTCTAATATGTCTGAACTCAAAAAAAAAGTTCATTGATAAATATTTTATCTGTTATGCTGGTTATTCTACCGAAATTTGTTTTGTTAATGTCAAGTAACAATGTTGAAACGAAAAAAATGTCAATGTACATATTGCATGCTATGAAGCTGAGATGTTTCATTAGAGTTACGAAAAGAACCTCAACACAGAAAATTCTGACGCTTTAGACGACAGGGCAGGGTTTCAATAATTGCAGTCTGTGTTCACACAGAATTGATTTCAGGTTGTATTTTTCAGATTTCAGGTTTCGTTCATACATTTAGATATTCAAAACGTTTCAGTGTGTTCCACCGATTACATGAAGTGCGTTATCGATATTGTATTGCTCTATTATACGTCCGTCAACACTTTACGGTGATTATGGATATAAAAGAGTGATAAAATCAATCAAATTCCAATCAAAATGTATGCATGGAGACACAATAGAATAGGAATAAAGTATTTTCGAATCTTTTATTAATCCTGCATTCTGATTGATTCGCGAGCGGTAGTGGATCTACATTAAATCACAATTTACAACGTTATTGATGACCGCATTAACGCAAATGAAATATTACAGTTTCTTAATGATATGATTGAAGTACAGATTGGTGAACATTATGGCACGGGTCTACCAAAGCTGTGCAACGTTAATTGAAGGTAATAGTCATTGATCCCAATATTTTATCACGCACCTTTCACCAGTATCAAATAGATTATGTACAATAATAATTTAATATTTTGTTTGTAGAGTGAGTGAGTAAGTTTGGTTAAACGCCGTCTTGAACAGCATTCCAGATACATCTGCGTGTCAGCTTAATGTGTGAGTAAAGTATTCAAACAAAAGGCGGTGGGGCAGCCTAGTGGTAAAACATGTTGGCTCGTAATGCCGAAACGCATGTTCAGTTCCCAATATTGATCCCGGTGTCCTGTTTTCTCCGTTGTTTAACGCCGCAGCAATATTCAAGCTATATAGGGCTGTCTGTAATCGGGTCTGGGCGCGACAAACCTGTACATGTGATTGACATCATAAGCATCGATCCACGCATTTCTGATACGACTACATCATTCAAGTCAGCGAGCCTGACCGACCGATCCCGTTAGTCGCCTCTTACGACCAGCATGATCGCCCTTTGACAAGCATTGGTTGCTGAAGACCTATTCCAATCCGTATATTCACGGGTCCTCGATGTGGCTGAAATGTGTTGCTCAAAGAGGCGTAAAACTCACTCACTCACTTCAACCAACAAATTTCACTCACTGAGACAACGAAAAATACAACGACACGAATGTGTTAAAGCAAGAAGATTCGCAATCCGATTTAAGTATAATTGCCGGTCGTACAAGGCGACTTAATGGATCGGGTGGTCAAACCCGATTACTTGGTTGGTTGCGATTTATCGTATCCTGGCGGCATGGATCGTTGTTCCTATTATCAATCATTGGTTTGTCGGGTCCAGACTCGAATGAAAACAGTCTACGGTCTTAAAACTGGGCTATTGCAAACAACCAAACGTATAAAAAAGGATAAATAGTATTGCAGATATTATAATCTACTCCTATGTATGATACACGGGTGTGACATGATTATGATCTATTTCTTCTATTTAATAAAAGCACATTTTGACACTGATAATTGCAAGTGTGTAACATTAAAGCTAAGCATTATGTAGGTCCTACACTTGGACGTTTACTGGAGACTGAGAGACAATACCAGATCTAGACGTTGTTAGATGAGACAGATTGCGTTATATGTTCACAGGGGAACAAATGGATATAATCCAATCTCCAGCCATTAGACATATTGAGGGCTCATCATAAAAATGCTTTTAGGAGAAATAATATAACTGTCCCATTGTCCCCGCAAATACAGATGGAACAAATCCTTTGCGTAATCCCATTCCTTTTGAACTGATTTATTTCTGAGAATAACTGATCGTGACTAATGCGTGGATATGTGAAAATCCCGTCTAATAATGAATCGATTGATATTTCCGCTTCGTAAATGTTGGTCCAAGTAGTTTTTTCATCTTGCAGTGCGCTTCCAAATGATATAATTGAATTAAAGAATGAGGATAGCATGTGAATTATACCCAATATTGGAATCACCAGCGTTACTTGCACTCGACCTTTTAAAAGACACCTTATATGAATGTATGCTCAAAATAGAATCATGTGTGTGATAGGCCCTGCAGCTCTGGAAGTGTTGGGAACTACCCGTTGTAAAATGCTGGAACTTTTAAGATGGCATATGCATACAATGACATCAATTTGCTCTTGAGAGTCTCAACGCCTCGGTTCAAACGCTCTTATACTCTTAATAGGAAGAATCCGACGTAATGCATGTGTCAAGTATATGTCCCCAATGTACCTTTCAAACAGACGCCGATCACAATTATTCAAAAATTGATGCATAAAACAGTCGTGAAGTAGCGTCCGTATTTCTGGGGTAGTTGACATAATGGTCCCATGATTTAGATTACTGAATATTTTTTACACAGGTCATCGAAATTATACCAAATGTACGGAATGCTATTACAGACACAATTGTCATGTAGTCAATGTACATAATTGGCGGAAAATATAAACTTTAAACTTACATCACTGTAATCATGTACGGGAAGACAAAACGGTTTGTAAGTTTGGCCAGTAAATGTTGCATTTTCAACATATGCGTAATAATAATCATCATCATAATCATCATCATCATCATCATTGATTTGTAAAGCGCCTAATATCCAACCAGGGCTTTCCAGTGGCGCTGTTACATATTAATTATTACCCCGGTCAATGGATCAATGTGCACTCGATATTCATTCCCAGCTCCTTGGGGAGTATGCAACTCAAGCTGCCTGTGAGGCGTTGGAAGGTTAGCTGTGACACTGCTTTCTCATCCTATTTGAGGTAGATCTGACTATGACGTGTCAACATACGTAAAGTACAACGAAGAAGTTCGATTTGACATCAACATCACCACCCTAAATCTAAAAATAAAGTGAGCATGCTGAGCCAAGAGACAAAGATAGCAAGGCGACACAGAACAAACCACGCTGCCAGAACGCGATGTACCCTTGACGACATCATGACGTACAATCCTGCAGCGTGTTAGCAAATACGTCAGAGATAAGAAACCCGCCATTCCAAATCATTAATGTGTACTCACATGTCAATGTGTTGCACTTTTAGCAAAGACTTATGAAATGCATCTGTCCATTTGATCCAAAATCTTCTTTGTTCCCATTGTTGGCAGTGCCTTCATAACGGTGTGCTCTGAAAATATAAAGAAGTCCATGTTCAGAAACAAGCTCGTAATATACCGACATACAATATACTGGAAAGGTTAATTGTACTATGTTCCTGATAAATAAGACGAAAATAGATTCAGATAAGTAGGAATTGGACAGTTAATTATAAAGCTACGAATACAGGCTCGTACTGATATTACCAAACAAACGTGAAAAGCCGGAAAAGGAGTGAGCTCGTGCAATGTCTCAAGATCAATATTCAACAAAGCAAATGATCGCTTCCGTCGCCATTAATTCCTTCTAAAAGGGAAATAGTTCTTATCAAAGAAAGCCACGTTCTGATGCGTTACAACAAGAAATGAAAGCGGCAAATAAACTCAGAAAAAGAACATAAAAATATCAACGCTTCTGTCTTGAATCCGTAAATACTGCTAACATATTGGCAGGCAATGCATTATTTGAAACGTATGGTTACCATAAGGATTCATGAAAGGTTTTGCTCGCCTCGCGCATGCCTTTGTTATCCACGCTCATTTTTGTTGACATTTTAGCTCTTATTTAAAGCATACTTTGCGGTTTCTAAGCGTAAAGAGCGAGTGAGTGAGTTGGGTTTTAACGCAGTATTCCACTTATTTCACAGCGTGTCAGCTTCATGTGGGAAGAAAGCCCGAAGTGATGCAGGTCTCAGACGTTAACCATTTTGGTGAAGCCCACGAGCACGGGTATGGTGCTGACAAACCTAGAAATATAATCGGGTCGATTTCATGATCAAGGTTTCTGGCGTCCCAAGGGACGCAACTCTGAAAGCGAATTGCGGAGCCTTTGACGAGTGGGCGACCCGTGTCCCCTACAGCAACTTGAAAACATATATAAAGAGCGTGAAAAGAACAGTTTTTGCTGCACATAAGTATGAGTATTTTACCACTGAAATATGCATTGTGCTAAAATGTGCAACACATGTTGTAATTAAAGTATAGTTCTAGCCATGTTGTAATTAAAGTATAGTTCTACCCATGTTGTAATTAAAGTATAGTTCTACCCATGTTGTAATTAAAGTATATTTCGACCGCATGTTGTAATTAAGGTATAGTTCTACCTATGTCGTAATCAAAGTATAGTTTTACCGCATGTTGTAATTAAAGTATAGTTTTACCGCATGTTGTAATTAAAGTATAGTACGACCGAATGTTGTAATTAAGGTACAGTTCTACCCATGTTGAAATTAAGGTATAGTTCTACCCATGTTGTAATTAGGGTATAATTCTACCCATGTTGTAATTAAAGTATAGTTCTACCCATGTTGTTATTTAAATGAAGCTCTACTCCTACTCGATATGTAATAAAGTATAGTTTTGCCCTTAACTATTATAGTTCAAGCTAGAAGACGTCTGTCGGTCATGTATTACACAATAAATGGGGGTCGAGCAAGCTATAGTTAAGGTTTCCTTTGTGTTTAAATAGAAATGCTTTAAAATCAAATATGCAATAACCGGCGCCGTAAATTGGAAATCCCCGAACAGGGCTAACTGATGGGCTGTTCCACCTAATTGCATGCATGCATCGTCACTTTTAGAGACAAACTACGTTTGTTGGTTTCTTTGTTGTTTGTTGGTTTGTTTTTCAACCCTCAGCAATATTCCAGCTATGTGTCATTGGTCTGTAAATAATCGAGTCTGGACCAGACAATCCTCCAATCTTTCGACAAGCACGGGTTGCTGAAGACCAATTGTAACCCGGATCTTCAGGGGACTTACCACAAGCAGCTGATACTTAATTTATATTGCACTTAGTACGTTCTATCACGAATCATGACTAACAGAAGAAGTGTCATTACACTGAGATTTGGTAAAAAAGACTATATGTTCATGTAAATTTGCGTATCCGACTCCAGGGCTCGTATAGTGCTGCAGAAACATTTGACAGAAAGGCTTGATTGTCCGCAGGAGTGCAGCTAAATATATTGCAAGAATACTCATGATCTGACAAAATCCTTTAAGACAGCGGGATCTATTTTCAATTCTGAAGTTGTATATCATGAAAAAATATATCCTTAGATTTATTTAACAAAATCCCTCCGTACTGACATCAAAGGTCTATCTAAGCTCCACCAAGGGCACAGTGAAGTTTGTTTATTAGATCCAGAAGGGTACAGTACGGTGTTATTCCAATTCGAGTCCAATGTTACATTCTTGCAATTACGAAAGCAATTTATTTAAATGGTTCAGATAGACTGTGTCAAGACAACTGATGTCGCTAGGGTACATGTTATTAACACGTAAGAGTAGGTCCGGCACATTTTAAGTCTTGGGGGTTTGACGTGCATGCGTGTGTGTGTGTGGGGGGGGGGGGGGGGGGGGGTGGGGGGTGGGGGGGGTGGGGGGGGGGTGTGTGGGTTGGGGGGGGGGGGTGGTTGTTGGTGTGTGGGTGTGGGTGTGGGTGTGGGGGTGTGGGGGAGTGCGTGCGTGTCTGTTTCTCTGCTTGTACTATTCAGGACTTTATAATTCCAGCACACAGAGACACCATGCCGCAGTTTTACATGGATACCCCACTTAGACACATTACACTGACACGGAGACGACCAGTCCCTGGTTTATCCCCTTAATGCCGAGCGCCAGGCAAGATAACAAATAACAAGGATCAATCCATCGACCTTCCATAATAATTTGGGACAATGAAGTACAATCATGTTATGGTTGTGAGAGCGTAAACATAACTGGGTCACAGTAGAGGAACTTCACAATGGCTGGATTGAATAGAGGATCTCACCCTCGTGTCAGATCTAATTTATCATCAAAAATCATTCTTCCAACTTGTTCAGTTTGTAAACAGTAAAGGCCTCTCTCTTGTGTGTAAAGGTACAGCTACCAAGCTTCAGAGGCAGAGATATTAGTAATGTCACTTGATTGACGACATGGTAACCGATGACGTCACATTGGTCTGCAAATGCATTGTGATGCAGCTTCATTGTAGCGATATCGCCAAGGAGCTATCATTTCATCTGATCTCTAATAGAAGGCAGTTTTATAAAATTGATCATACACATGACATGTTCATCATGGGGTACTTGTGGCATGAAGAGTTTGAGAGTTGGGTTTAACACCTGTGCTTGGCATACCTCATGTGTGTTAAGAGTCCAGGGGGTGTGAAATGGGGTCGCGTCCAAGATTCTTGCACTTATATAGCGACATGCATGCACGTGTGTGGGGGGGGGGGGGGGGGGCTGCTTGTACTAGTCAGGACTGGTCCCGATTTATAGTGCTGACACACTGAGATACCATGCCGCAGTTTAACATGAATACCCCACTCAGACACAGTATACTGACTCCGAGCCGACCAGTCCTTGTTTTAGCCCCTTAATGCCGAGCACCAGACAGGGTAACAACAAGTACAATCTCTTAAGGTTCTTTGGTATTACGCGGCCGGGGATCGAACCCCGGACCTTCCACTGTCCGGGCGGACGCTCTACCATTAGACCACGGAGGCGGTCCATGAGTCATACATGACGTGAAGCTGAAAATACCTCCAAGTATGCCATCAGTTGTGTCATTCTTTCACTCTCAGGTGTCAGGCAATCATAGACGTCATCGAACGTTTCGTGACGTCACAGCATTTGAGGATTACATCTTGTCTGTGTTACAAATCATGTTGAGTGAGTGCTACCAAAAATTACTTTTAACTTTTGTATTTTAGAATGTCAATGAACATCTGCGTGTGTTACTAAGTACTGCATGCCCGTAAGTGGAAAATAACATTTTCAAATGTATGTGTCTAGGGTACATGTGATGCCAACAGCAGTAACATCATGTACAATGGCGGTGTCATGTGAGCACAAGACCGGGGTTAAAATAGGTCCAAGGGCGTAGTAGAAGTAGTAGTAGTAGTAGTAGTAGTAGTAGTAGTAGTAGTAGTAGTAGTAGTAGTAGAAGCAGAGGTAGCAGTAGTGGTTGTGGGAGTAGTAGTATTTGTTGTCTGGGGTTGAGCGGCGAAATACGTGTGTTCCACAGCTTGTTCAAGAAGAAACTGACGATAACATATGTAGTAGAAATGTTTCTGGTGTACTTGTGATAGATGATGAGAACCAGGCCGCACCAAAATAGATTTACAAGGATGATTCCAACAAGCACACTGTGTTGCACATATACAAAGAACGGTCCTGACCATGAAATACTGTGTTTGTTTATTACGACCCTTTAATGAACTGGACGTCAATATGTGTGATCAAGATTATTCTCCAGACTTAGTGTACAATCTCCATTGAAAAAAGAGTTGTTTTGTCTTCAGCTCCAAGTTGATAATACCTTCTTTTTTACCTCCAGCAAATATAATTGTATCTCTTTTGGAGCTGCATTTCCATGTTGAATATATCATCTTCTTTCCTTCGTCTTCAGCTCCCAGGCGAATAGATTATCATATCTACTTCAAGTACATAAAGTTCAGTCAACCATAAACATAACGTATCCAGTTTCACAAAACAGAGTTCTAGTAATGCATCAGCCATTAATCTAAAGAATCACTCTTTACATTACCAAAACCATGCTACCATTTAATCGATCTGCAGCCTATGGCATATGTTAATAAGTTGAGAGTTGCGTCATACACGGTCAAATGTGTCATTTAATCAGATGTGATTGCCAGGCAGGTACCCTCCAAGGAACAACAGCGGTGTCGATAACGATGTCAGTGTCGATGTCGGTGTCGGTGTCGGAATCAATGTTGGACCGGTGATATAAGACTCCATATCCTACATTCCCCTGTCACCATGCCTGCTTCTGAACAATAATGTCTCCATGTACGCAAACTAGATCGCGACACAAGATTGCCTCATGTAGACAATCTACATAACACCATATCAAGCACACATCAAAACATTCCAGATTGTGATTCAAAACCTCAACATGAGGTGTGAATATCTAAGAATAAGGAATTGACATATTTTCTAAAATGTAGAAGTCATGCGTAATCGACGTATTAACACGAATACTTGACTATTGTTATCCACTAGGCTCAATGGCTAAGCTCTCTGAC